GGTTACAGTTAGCCAATGGCAAGTTTTCACAAAAGTCACCTCATTTACATAGTAGTCAGCCAATCAGAAGTATATCCCAAAAGTTACTTCATTTACATGGTAGTCAACCAATCAGAAGTATGACCCCAAATCACCTCATCAGCTGTGAGTATTTGTAGCTGCTCAATTTATGAGCGGGATAAGCAAAACGGGCGAGTTTTGGTGGAACGCCCTGACAGGATGGGGACAACAGGGAAGACAGGCTCCTGAGTAAATTGCACAGAAATGGAGCAACAGAATTGAAAGGGTTGAGGAAGAACTCTTTCCCTTCCCTCCCTAGGGCAGCAAGCCTTATTTCTAGTCAAGTTGGTAACAAGGACACAAAGAAGACTGCTTCCTCTGAACTCCTGCCTGCTAGAGATGGGCTTCTTTCTGCTGCAGTCAGCTGATATACCACCAGAAGACTTGGAGTTATTTGCCACAGGTTATGACAGTTTAAGCAGGAGGAAGTTAGTTTTTGCAGTTCTGTTTGTGGAGTTGGCAGAATGAAAATGCTGGCTGGTGGTTTGCTTTTCATAGTCATCAACAACGGCTTTCTACAACACCTGGGTTTTCTTTGGAAACTGTGAGGAGGCACTGAAAAAAAAAACAAACTGATTTCTTCTTTTATTAAAAAAAACTCACAAAGGAGTGACTCCAAAGGATATGTGTGGCCCAGGCAAGGTGGCTCACGCCTGTAATCCTAGCACTCTGGGAGGCCAAGGCGGGTGGATTGCTCGAGGTCAGGAGTTCGAAACCAGCCTGAGCAAGAGCGAGAACCCGTCTCTACTATAAATAGAAACAAATTAATTGGACAACTAATATATATAGAAAAAATCAGCCGGGCATGGTGGCACAGGCCTGTAGTCCCAGCTGCTCGGGAGGCTGAGGCAGAAGGATTGCTTGAGCCCAGGAGTTTGAGGTTGCTGTGAGCTAGGCTGATGCCATGGCACTCACTCTAGCCTGGGCAACAAAGCGAGACTCTGTCTCAAAAGAAAAAAAAGATATGTGTGAGAGTAGCTCTAATTTCAGGTTGTGTTTGGATATGGAAAATAATCACCTTGCATAAATTTCATGTTTTGTTGAGCATATTTTGATTTGTATGGAATTGAATTTTTATAGTCGAGCAAATTAGTCTGGACCCACGAGTGTAGATGTTGTGCTGAAATAAATTAGGAGGACAAAGAGATAGCGGAATTATAATAACAAACGAAAATATGACCAAGAACACTGCTGTATCTTGGAGGATCTTATAATCCCTGCTTTTATTTTTTTTTTTTTTATTTTTTTTTTTTTTTGAGACAGAGTCTCGCTTTCTTGCCCAGGCTAGAGTGAGTGCCGTGGCGTCAGCCTCGCTCACAGCAACCTCAAACTCCTGGGCTCAAGCAATCCTCCTGCCTCAGCCTCCCGAGTAGCTGGGACTACAGGCACGAGCCACCATGCCCGGCTGATTTTATATTATATATATTAGTTGGCCAATTAATTTCTTTCTATTTTTATGGTAGAGACGGGGTCTCGCTCAGGCTGGTTTTGAACTCCTGACCTTGAGCAATCCGCCCGCCTCGGCCTCCCAGAGTGCTAGGATTACAGGCGTGAGCCACCGCGCCCGGCAGTCCCTGCTTTTAAACTGCAGCAATGTTACAATGGGTGAGTATGAGAGAATACTGCAAAAGAAATTCCAGGTCTATTTTTTTTTAAGTTAATCTGCTTGGATCTGTAAGCAAGGTACAATTTTTCCATTTGTTTAACATAATTGAACATGGAAAGCTATTACTTATTATTTACTAGTAAGCTCTTGCAACCCCAAATGCCTAAATTAGTTTTCTATTATTTATTTTATGGATAAGAATGTGTTTTCTTTCTTTCTTTTTCCTTTTCTTTTTTTTTTTTTTTTTTTGAGACAGGGCTAGAATGCAGTGGCATCATCATAGCCCACTGCAACCTTAAACTCAAGGGATCCCCCTGCCTCAGCCTCCTGAGTAGCTGGGACTACAGGCATGTGGCATCATCCTCAGCTAATTTTTCTATTTATGTAGAGATGGGGTCTTGCACTTGCTCAGGCTAGTGTCAAACTTCTAATCTCAAGCTATCCTCCCGCCTCCCTCTCAGGGTCCCAGAGTGCTAGGATTACAGGCACAGGCGTGACCCACCATGCCTGGCCTAGAATGTGTTTTACTTATAAGGATCCTAGATTTAAGCCTAAAACAATGACAGTAACCTCCCGCACCTTCTAATTCCAGTCTCTAGAATAGTGCCTGCTACATAGTAGTTTCTCCACAAATAATTAGTGAATGAAATTACAGTAGTTGCTGCATTCAATAAAAGTAAAGCCAGAAAATAAATTCTATTTGAAAATATGACTTTAAAGTAGTAGAGAGCAAAGCTTCAGCTCCATTTTGTCAATAAAATGAAGTATCCTAATATCTAAGTAATAAACTTTTTTTTTTTTGAGACAGTCTTGCTTGCTCTGTTGTCCAGGCTAGAGTGTAATGGTGTAATCGCAACTCACTGCAACTTCAAAATTCTTAGGACTACAGGAACAAGCCTACAAACCCACTAATTTTTCTCCTTTTTGTAGACCCAAGGGTCTCATTATTATACTCAGGCTGGTCTAGAACACCTGGCCTCAAGGATCCTCCTACCTCAACCTCCCAAAGTGCTAAGATTACAGGCATGAGCCATGGAGCCTGAACCTAAATAATACACATTTAAAATAAATCTCAATCATTAGATACAGCCTCAAGTGTGAGCAAAGAGAAGGAACCTTAACAGAGGAAGAATTGGAAACGTTTGGTTTTACTTCTTGGTCGGTAGGATAGTTCGGGAACAAACCTTAGGACTAATGCATTTGCACTTTATTGGAGATGGCAACTTCGTTGATCATAGAATCAAATTCAAACTTCGTAATATGTTTCTGAAGATTCTTTGAGGCTTTCTTTAGCTTTTACTCGGACCGTCCCCGCCTACACATCCTGGGCGTCTGCTGAGACAGTGTGTTCTTTTTCTTGGCTTGTCCTGTACTTTTTCACTGACCTCCCCCTCCACCCAGGACTTTGCCCCCTGGGCTATGGTCAACTTCTCTAAAGTCTTTCCACGTTTCAAGGCCCAGTTTAATCCTCAGCGCTTTCTGGAAAGCTTCCTTTTCAGATGCAATGTTGGTCTCCTCTATTTCCTTCAGCACTTTGAACTTCTATCTTAACGGCCATTATATTCTGACGTAACGGCCATTACATTCTAACGTGGAGTATTCGCTTGCTGGTAACCCCCAACTAGATTGCTACCACCCTGCTGGGGAGGTTTTTGAGGAAATCGCTCTGTCCAGCCCCTACCACAGTGCCTGGCACAAAGCAAATACGCAATACAGGTTATGAAATGAATCTAAATCCCAGAGGGGGAAAGGAGAAGCTCCTGCACCCAGCAGTAAGGGCCCTTCACGATCTTAGGGAAGGCCTGTGGTGTAGCTGGGCCCTGTCCCCAGCTCCAGACTGGCACGAGAATGTGGCGCGGAGGAAGTCTGGTGTAAATATCTATGAACTCCCTTTACTTATTTAGAAGGATCTGCAAGTTCTTTCCTACAGCCTCGGGCCCCGCCTTAGAAGGCGGTGCAAAAGGGGTGGGGTGGGGTGGGGTGAATGTCCAGCCTCATGGTAAGTCTAGACTCAGCTCTAATTTTATTAATTTTTAAAGTTTCACAAATTCCAGTTCTAAGCTAGGGCCCAGGGTATCTGTAGAGGGTTTCTCGGTGCGCAAATTTCGCGTTCTAGGGAAGGCTCCCAGCATTCGGAGCTTTGCCTAATTTAGCCTTCTCACATTTCCCACCGCTAGGAATCTCCTGAGCACTCCTGGCCTCCACACCCAGCCGGTGCGGAACACGGCGGTTAGGCCTAGCGGTCTCAACCTCTTCCTTCCTCAACCCTCCGTCCAAACCCAGGGCGGGCGAGTGGGGGAGCTACCAGCCCGCAGTATGAGGCGGAGGAGGGGGACGGTTGGACTCCAACTCCCAGGCTGCTCCGGGAGCAGTGCGGGGGAGGGGGTGAGCGGGAGGGGTTGGGTTGGGTTGGGTTTGGGGTGGGGTGGGGGGGTGGCAGGGAAATCCCGCCCCGCTGCGCAGCAGCGACACAAAGCCTGACTTTACAACCTCACAGAGAAAGTGGAAGAGAGCTTAGGTGGGGAGGCAGGACGAGAGAAAGAACGAGAGGAGGGAAAGCCGCGTAGGTGGGAGAGGAGCAAAGCTAAGCGAGGGTAGTGGGAAGACCCTCGCCTTTGTAGATGAGAAGGGGTCGGCTTTCCTAACCAATCCCCCGCCCGCGCCCCGCCCCTCCTGCGGGGGTCTCCACAAACCCTGCGGGTCCCCACTGTCTCTCAGAGACCGGCTCCTCCCCGCCAGGAAGCGGGGAGCCCGGCCGTCTCGCGGGCTCGGGCGGGCAGGCGGGCTACGCCGAAGCTCCCTGGCCCGAGTGTGGGACCAGAGCGCGGGGCAGCGCGGCTGCCGCGGACTGAGGAGAGCTGCGAGCGAAGCGGCGCGGCGAACGAGTTAGGGCCGGGGCGAGGGAGGCTGTGGCTCCCGACCGAGACAGGGGAGTAGTGTCGGGCTGAGGCGAGGTGAGGCGCGGGGTGCCTCGGGAGGGTGCCCGTGTCCCGAGCGGGACGGCCGCGGAGGCCAGAGGGGAGGCGGGTGGTGGCACTGCAACGGGGAAGAGTATAGACAGAGGGGTGCCAAGCCCGACGCTGGCGGAGAGATTGGGACGCTCCCCCCCAGCAGGAGGAGCCTAGCGCTCCTCCGCCATCCCTCCCCCGCGAGCCAGGCTCGCCTTTTCAGCGGACTGCTGCGGGAGCCACCGGCCCGCGGTGTTGGGGCCAGATAAGAGGGACCCGCGGGGCCGTCGCCCCCAGGACGGGCGGGCCGGGGGCGGGCAGCTAGAGAGGCGGGGCGGAGCCGTGGGCGCGAGGGCGCGGGCGGCTGGGGGCGGGGGAGCGCGGGGAGCCAAGGAGGGCAGGCGGCGGGCGGGTGGCCGGGCTACCCGTCTCGCTGTCGGCTTTGCGCCGCCAGCCCACGCCGCAGTGTGTTTTGTGGACGGCGCCTTTCCAGACAGCCCACTAGAGCCCAGCTCAGCGCCTGGCAGCCTTCGACGCGATGTTCCGCCGGAGCTTTAATCGTTTTGTAAGTACACTCGCTGCTACTCCACGCGTGCCGGTTTGCTTGTTTGGTAGCCCCTTCACCAGGTCCCTCACGACAATTTTCTGAGGGGGTCATTGCGTCTCCGGGAGGCTCCACCACCATTGCTGCCCTTTTTCGTTTTAACTGAAACACATTGCCCCGGCGGCCAGGGTGGGGAGGCAGGTAGGGTTCTTGGGGTATCCCATCCTCGCCCCCAGGACAATTTAATCAGGGCTTCCCGGGGCTGTTACTAGCTCTGCCTCAGACTGGAGGCTGCCCTCAGGCTGGATTGTGGGGGACTCGTGAGGTGACCGACCCGGGGACCCCTCAGTTTGCCAATTAGGCGAAAATGGCGTATTATTATCCGGGAGGTTGCTTTCTTTTGTTTCCTCTGCCACGAGCACATGGAGGTAAACCTAGACCTGTCACTGTGGCCCAAAAGAATAGCTGAGGGTTGAGGGAGCCCGAGGCTAAGGCAGGACTCAGCCTTGCCTAGGGCTCGGCCCAGCAGTGCGGCTGCTGACCGGAGACCGGGCAAACTTTGGAGACCCAGCCTACGAAGCTCACATTTAGGGTGTTATAAAAGAGAGGGCGATTGTCAGGGTGGGCTGGGTGGATGTGGAGACACGAGGAGGCTGCACCGCCGCTGGCCATGCTGCCAATCGCGGGTCTGAAGCCTCCCCGGGGACTGAACGCCCCAGACATAGAACCCATGGGAGAAGGCAGGCTGCGACTGGACTCCCCCGTCCACGTTAACTGCCTTCCAAATCCGCAGAAAAGGGAATTTCGTTTTCGTGGGAGTTTGGCATAGAGAAAAGCGATTTCTGGCTACTGACTTTTTTGAGTGACCTGTTTACTCGTAGAGGGTATGTTAAGAATGGAGCAAAACGGCCATTTACTTCATTCAATGCTGCTATTTGTAGCAACTTCCTTGATTGTTAGAGGTGGTGGCGGGACTAGGATTTTATTTCTGCCAATGATGTGAAAGAAAGGGTTCAACTGCAAATTTTGATTTTTCTGTAGTTAAGAAGGGTTGAGTGCTGAGCGCATACCCCCTTCCCCTTTAAAATACGTGTTTTGAGAACTTGTCAATTTGATTATTTTCATGCAGTAATTCCTAATTGAAGCACTGCTAACCTATTTTTCATATGTTGAATGAATTTGCTCTAATTTTTCTGCATTTGAAACTTTCACAAATGTACCCTGGCTAAAAGTAATACTTGTACATTCCTTTTTAAAGGATATTATCACAATATGCTATGTTAATGCTTTTCTAAATGTTTACCTCACCCAGAAACATGCAGTATGAAATTGGAGCAGATTATTACCTGTAGCACAGTGCAGTAGAGGTTATATATATCAAGGATCTTGAAATTCGTAGGAAATGTACTGGATGCTTTAAAGCAGATGACCAAAATTGTACTGGATCCTTTAAAGCAGATGACCAAAATTGGTTTCTCACCTTTAGCCTGATAATGTAAAAGAGCATTGTACTTCATGGTTCTATTTCACTTGGATTCTTGTGATCTTGGAGTGTTGTTTAGGAGTGACAAAAAGAGAAAGGTGACAAGGAGAGCTAATTGTATTTAGGAAAACAATAACCTTTCACTTGGCACTCTTATGGTGGAAAACAACTGGGCTCTGAATCATAATAAATTCATTCTCTTAAAATTGAGATGTTGAAGTCCCCATTTAAGGATTTGAATAACTAAGATATTGGTTTAAAAGCCCCATTTGCTTCCCTTTTGCTAAGAGTGATCTGCATTATATTATAGTCTGATCATTAAGCATGGCTGGCCCAGGAAGCCAGGGCATGCAGTAGAATTTGCAGCAGTTGTTGAGGTGTGCCAGCCTGCAGGTTTGAGGCTAGTATTTTGCCTCCCCCACCAAGATCTCTGCAGAGAATCACTTTTACTCATACTGAAATGAGCTTTGACCTCATTGTTTCAGCTGGAATGTCCTACTGTTCACATTTTTCTGTGCAACCATGACTTTGGTAAGTCCCAGGAATTTACCAGTGTGGTAAGCTGGTTCTTAGGAGTTCTGTCTGAGCCCTAGGCCAAGGAGTTAATCTGCAAACCATTGGACTGAATGTGGAGAATGCTATCAAATACTCATTGCTAAAAATGCCTTCAAAATTTTGGGAGGCCAAATTTTAGATCCCTTAGATCAGTAAATCATATACTGTCCTCATCTTCTGCCTGGCAGAGATTCTTTGAGGGCACTCCTGTTTAAATCACTAGAAGGCTAAAATTAAAGATTTAGGTGGGACTTTGTGATTTGCACAGCAGTGTAGATGTAGTCCAAGTTGTGTGCTGCCTTATGATTGTTTTAATATTTCAAAATCAGTTTTTTTTTTTTTGGTGTACCTATGTCAATGGAAAAAAAGCCAAAGTCTGTAAAATAATTTTTTTTTTTTTTTGAGACACAGTCTTGCTTTGTTGCCCAGGCTAGCGTGAGTGCCATGACATCAGCCTAGCTCACGGCAACCTCAAACTCCTAGGCTCAAGCAATCCTACTGCCTCAGCCTCCGGAGTAGCTGGGACTACAGGCATGCACATGCCTGGCTAATATTTTCTATATATATTTGTTGGTCAATTAATTTCTATTTATAGTAGAGACGGGTTCTCGCTCTTGCTCAGGTTGGTTTTGAACTCCTGAGCTCAAATGATCCGCTCGCCCACCTTGGCCTCCCAGAGAGCTAGGATTACAGGCGTGAGCCACCGGCGCCGGCCTGTAAAATAATTTTAAAGAGATTTACTTTGAGCCAAATTTGAGGGCCATGACCCAAAACACACCCAAGAAGCCTTGAGTAAGTGGATTCACCACGGTTGGGTTACAGTTTGGTTTTATACATTTTAGGGAGACAGGGGTTATAGGTAAAGTTATAAATCAATACTTGGGAGGCATACATTGGTTTGGCCTGAAAAGGCGGGCCATCTGGAAGCTGGGGCTCACAGGTTATAGATGGGTTTGAGGAGTCTTTGGCTTGTAATTGGTTAAAGACTTGAAGCTTTGTCGAAAAGCTTGGAATGTTTCAACAAAAGCAGCTCTTTATCAGAGATAAGCCTAGGGACATAGCTTTGTTGTGTAAATTGGGGACCTGCAGGTTTGTCTTGCATACCCTTAGGCCTGTTAATGGGTTACAAAGGATGCCTCCAAGAAGGGAGGGGGGGGCACGATGAGGCATGTCTGACCTTCCTTTTCCTGGCAGACAATTTAGTTTTAGGGTACTCCTTTGGCCATGAGGGGGTCCATTCAGTCAGCGGGTACGGGGTGAACATTAAAATTTTATTTTAGTTCACAATTCCCCGCTTTTGGCCAAGGTATGTTAGAGGCAGCATCTATGGCCAAACTCTTATTTTATCCCATCTGTTGCCAGGGTGGTGTGGCTACCTGCCCTGTGTCCATGAGGTCCCTCGGTGGGAGCCTTGTGGCCAAGAGGACTGAAGAGCAGAAAGGGGGCTTACAGCCAATTAAATATTTTAAGCCAAACAGGATGGGAGGTAGACAAGCACTCATTAACACTTTAAAGTCTTCTAGATGACATAAGAGTAAAATCCAAAATCAAAGGCAAGGCTACAAAACTAATTTACCTATAAATGTTGAGCTACTATATTCTTGGGCTTAGTAGTATTAGTAGACTTATGGCAAATATAAGCATCATTAACACTTAAGCTAAAGGAATTTAGAGACTTTTATTGTGTCATAATATTTTAGCCTCTTTAGTAATTTATAGTAAGGTGGCTGATAAATTACTCATTATATCTCCTTTTGTATGAATTCATAACTGAGAAAAATTATGCTCAGGAAATTCCAAGTTTATGGAAAGTGGGGAAAAAAATGACGATTGGGATGTAACTGCAGCATGTGGCTTGAAAAGACCAAGTATTTTAGTTAATATTCCTTTAAGCTTCTGTGTGCCCCTCTTTGATCAGGAAGGTCTAAACTAATTTCATCCCTTGAAATTGGACCTTAAGATCTAGATTTAGAATTTAAGTTTTGGAAAGTTTCTCAGAGATCAAAGTCTTAAAACATTTGTTCAAATACAATCACAAACCACCATAAAATAAGGGTCATTTGTTTAACCAAGAGACATAGTCATCAAAAGATTCTAAAGGTGATAAAGTTACATGGGTGTAAACCTTAACCCTTTTAAAGTTTAGTTTTTCTAGTTAGTCAAAACCTAATAAAGAGAGTACAGGGATTATCTGATAAAGTGTAAAAATATTTGCTTCTTATAGGTCAGTTACCAAAATTAAAGAAAAACCTTCAGTAGTGATATTTTTTTAAATTATAAAGGAATCATATTATTGAATCAAAATGAGTACATCATGTCATTTCATTAAGGGTAAATTAATATCTACAGAAATCTTTGTTTTAGCAAAAAAAATATATATTTATTTGTAGCCAACTGGACCGCAAACAAAATTCCTTAATAGATTCCCTTTCATAAACTTTATCCCAACCTGCACATACCATATGCTATCTACAAAACACACCTTAAAACTTTTTATTTTGTCCTAACATTCCCTTTTCCTAAATAACCAGTCATTTTAGGACAAAAAATTCCATGTAAGATCCTTTCTTTACATTATTTTTTCTGTTTAACCTTTCTTACCAAAAATATATTTCTGTATTCATTGCCTTTTTACATTTTTTTCTTACAAGTGGAATTTTATTTTCATTTTCTTTCTAAACTTATTTTGATTCAATCTTTAAATAATCCATGCATTAGACAAAGATGTATATTTTTTAATAAGAACACATTTTGTGTCCTTTTATAATTTTTCTTATTAAAAACATAAAGGCCGAGCGTGGTGTCTCATGCCTGTAATCCTAGCACTCTGGGAGGCCAAGGCGGGCAGATTGCTTGAGCTCAGGAGTTCGAAACCAGCCTGAGCAAGAGTGAGACCCTGTCTCTACTATAAATAGAAAGAAATTAATTAGTCAACTAATATATATAGAAAAAATTAGCCGGGCATGGTGGTGCATGCCTGTAG